TTCGTTTATCCGTATTGCTAAAAGTTATTGTTTTATTTTATTAAGATTTAAATTGGGATTAAAAAAAGAAAGGTAACGTATTGCTATTCATTGAATGGCTGAACAATGTGCATATTTTGTAAAATAAAGTATTAAGGGAGAATAAAAAGCGTTTAATCAATGTCATAAAAATACCTTGTCATTATTGGCGAATAATAGCCATTTTATGACGTTGCATATATTGAATGTATTAATTTATGGTATTATATTAATAAAAAAAAGTGGTGCATTTTGCTTTAATCCAAATATTAGGATTGATTTTTGACGGTCGTACTATCGGAAATTCTCCCAAGCGTAGCTACATTCGCGAAAGGTATATTGATGTACGTATACAGCATTACAAGAATATGGCGCGTTTCGAAATGTTTTTTTTTTCCCAAAGCATACGCGTCAATCATCCTCCGACCTCGATATTGATTTCCGTACGTTTATTGTACTTCATGCGCCGATGCACGCCCAGATTTTCCGAGCTTGACTCCCATTATTAATCATCGAAGTGTAATTTCGCGCGACTTATGCCCCTTCGGGAGAACAAACTTTCCTCAGACCGAGGACGAAGAAAAAGAAAGAGATCCGACACTTCGATCCCAATATCGAAGCCGCGCGGAATTTATGCCGGATCGAGAAAGCGAATCTTACGGAAAAGATACGGCGGGGAAATTTATGTACGCCGTCGAAATGAATGCAAAGATACCGGCGCGGCAGGGTAACGTTCCGAAACTTTTCGCCGATGGATGTAGCAATTTAAAGTTTTCGGGCTCGTTAAATGGTCGCGGCGCTAGTTTGGCGCCGTCATGACTCCAATGAGGAGTTATGTCACGCGCCGATTAAAAGTCAATCTCGAGAAATTGCACGGAGTTAGGGACAGTTTTAATTAGGAAAATTGAATCGCTCCAATTTTTCGTGCACCGCTCGTCAATAAATATTTCCTGCCTTCTGACTGTCGCGTATTCACAAATTACGAGGGCGAAGAATGCATCGCGTTATATTTTAAACGGAAAGATCCGACCGCTTAGATTTTTAATAAGTTATTTATTGAATCGCAGCGTAGTCGGCGCAGGTTGCAGCAAACAATGATTAATTATCATAAACAGAAGCGGCTTATTAATTATTAGAAGAAAGTCCCCTATTATGAGATAGGCTCCCAATACGAGATAGCGGGATTTCTGCTGAATTAATATAGGCTTCTCATTTGTTGCCGCCATGAATTTATTAGATCGTGTCGTCATTGCGAAAAAAATTTACGATTAAATTTGCATGTTAAAAACCTGCTGTCTCACATTAGAAGCCTCATAATTTGCTCTACATAACAGATAACAAATATATGATCGCAACAGATTGAGTTCCCTGCCATGCGCCTCTTTCCTTTCCTCTCGCATCTTTGTTTCCGATTACAAGGACGCCTTTCTTAGCGCCCCGAATTTGTGCAAATATAAGGAATGAAAAAAAAAGTATGTACACACTAGACACGCCGCGCCATGCACACGCCTATAACCGTTCTCATTCGCGCGCGCATCTTCTCATAAAGGTTCTTTTCACAGACCGATGTGCATGAATACGCGATGAACATGTACACGACTGCTCTGTAAAGCTACTCCATAGCCCGTGGATATTCTCTCAGCGCCGCCCAAATTCGGGTATGTTTATTCGAATATCTTCCTCGATATCGCATATGTAAATTACAGAATCCCGTTTATCGCCGTTTCCGGGAAGTGATTCATTTATTCGTTATTTGTCAAATATGCCACGTTGTTTTATAAACAACGCGCCGTATGCTGAAAACAGATTTTACAGATTTTTTTTTATGTTGAAAATAAACTGTATTCTTTAATATTTTAAAGTTTAATACGGCGCGGAATATGAAATAAATAGTAGTTTTAATGCAAGCAAAGTTTCGTTCGCGGAAGTTCGCAGCGGGAGTGAAGGCTACAACGACGAGAGGCCGGGTGAGGGAAAATAACTTATATGCAGCGCATATATTTACGCATCCTTTATGCGTATTTGCGCGCGAACAAAGAGCTAAAGATTAATTAATAGGCGGAATTTCTCCGCTGACTGCAACTTGACGCGCTACCTCGGTGTTTCGATGCCATATCTTCGTGTTTCACCATCTCGCAGGGCTACAGACATACGTATGTGCCCGTTGTATGGTATATGAACGTCTCTTTCTATTCTCTCCTGCCGCCTGTCTATCGTTTGATATTTCTCGCTCGTAATCCCTTTGCCATACTCGCGAAAGTGTATCTTGCGCACGAGTAACAAAAGGGCAAATAGCTGCGCACTTAACGCTTTGTGCGAGACACTGTCTTGTAATACCGATAGATATAATGAAATAGAGGAGGGAGCGGCGGTCCCGAGTTCCTTTGTAACTTGTAATTAGCCAGCGCTGCTATATGGGTTGAGAATAAAATGTTAACATATATTATCAGATATAAAAAATGAAATTTATTGTAAACATATGTAGCGAGATATAAAAGGCACGAAGTGATAAAGCCCGGATGAAGCGAATTTTTCGAGCGAGCAATCGGAAAAGGCCATGAATTAATAGCGTGAATTAATTTTCTTTGTGCAACTTTTGTGAACACATTCCTTGATGCTCTTTGATATATCTGAAAAGAATGCCAAAGGATGTTAATAAAGGAATGCCTTTCATTCAAACGATGGTGTTGGCCAAATATCTGGCATACAAATGTAGATTGCAGAAAGAGGGGGGGGAGGGAGAGAGAGAGAGAGAGAGAGAGAGAGAGAGAGAGAGAGAGAGAGAGAGAGAGAGAGAGAGAGAGAGGTGGTAATAAAGTTAAAGAAAAATGATTGCTCTTATATCGCGAGATTGAAAAATTCTTAAATATTTATACGCAGCTTAATATTAAAATACGCGTTTGACGAGCGTCGCATTTAAAATTATTAAAGACATACTTTTCTCGTTGCATCTCACTTCCGAGAATTTCCAATGGATTACGTCAAACGTTTCTATCGAGCAGGCGTTTCGCTCAGTTGCACCAGGTGCACACCAGTCGCAATTAGAAAAAGAATGAAAAAGAAGCAATACTGTGTCTGTATATGAAACCTACTTATAAACAGGAAGACGACAAGGACGTATATTACAATAGCGATATATTCCATTTTGTCATATTTATTATTTCACAATGTAGAGAGATATATTTTATTCTACCAGTACGCATATTTGGCCATGCAACATTACAAATATGTTTGCCTATGCCAGCGGAGAGGCGAAATATTTAAATCCATAAATATACCATACATGTATACGTTCATGTATAATGTAGTAATATTTTGCTTTTATCCGCACGATTAAATAGGTATAAAGTCAAAGGTTGGCATTTAATTACATGCTGATAAAGCTAAAAATATTGCCAGAAAATCTACGATTTGCGATCAAAAACATACGTTGTCGACGATATATATTCGCGTAAAATCGATTTTTTTCATTTTCGTTAGAGAGAGAGAGAGAGAGAGAGAGAGAGAGGGGGGGGGGGGAGGTGATTTGCATTGCGTGAATCGGGATTCCCAGAAGAGGTGACTCGTATGTAATAGCGCTTAACAGAAATATCGATCGATGACCTTCATTCCCAGGATCTGCCAACGAATATATTTCGTATTTGAGTGGCCGTTATCAAATTCCCGGCTTTCCTTTTTGCTCGCCCGGGCTTGTCCATTCATCTACGTTCAATTCCATCTAGTCTTTGAACCGAATTCCCTATCGGCTTCGCGCACACCGTTCCGCTCCTCGTACACCCGATCCGTTTGGTAGCATAGAGCTATCAAATTTAGAATTCCAGCAGATTCGAAAGTCACACGTAGTATCCGAATTTGGGCGACATTGGATTGCGGAATAAAGACGGTTGTGGAAAATAATCAGCAGAATTACATAAGTACATACATCTGGTAGGGCCGCAGGCAAACCAAGCTAAACAATGTAGCAAAAATTTCTCCAACATCTATCCTTGTCTGATCCTCGTAATTTTAAAATAGAAACATTTTTATTTGAAATGTTTTAATTACAAAAATTAATTAATCTAAGTGTAAAAAAATAAATTTTTTAATAAAAATTTTATAATTATAAAATTTTTAATTGAAAATTGTAATTATGGCCTTTTGGAAGGTATATGGAACTGAAAAAGTAATCGTCGTCATTGATTCAAATTGTTATTATTAATCGGTTAATTTTTGTCTACTTTATGCCTAAGGCTCTACACGGAGATTTTCTCTTAAAATTTACCCTGAAAATCATGTAATCGTAGGACAGCATGACATTTCGAAGAACTTTGTGAGAGTATTTTACTAGTAAAATGTACGGTAAAATTTCCCAATTTATTATTTTATTACCAGAAAGCTTGGCGAACAGACAAGAGATTTCTTTTTCGGCACAATGTCTTTCGGTAAATGCGAAGTAAACGCGGCTCTGCGTACCAGCAGAGTGTTTTCCTACAAGCGCATTCTCGTCGTCGTTTCTCCTCGGCAACTTAAACTGCCTCGTCGAATGCAGTCGTCGCCAATTGATAGTCATCCCTTGCCGCAGTAACAACGGGATTTTTCTGCTTTCTTTTGCAGGCGCTACCGTTCGGCGCGCGGGATGAACGCGAGGACGGAATAAATCATCGAGACGTGCGTGCCCGTGGGATGCATCACGCGCATTACCTCGAGAGGATCTCCGTCATCGAGGCAGAGTCGATCGGGCGAAATAATGCGATCGAAACGCATCAAGAAGGCGGCGCTGTTCAGATTACTGAGATACAGACAGTGCGCCAGGTGCCGGAAGATAACTTAGCGTACCCGAGAGTATTCGTGGCGATCGCTCGGCGAGGATAAAGAGAATAGGAGCGTACATACGAGAGGACATGAGACTGATCGCCATCGCGGCAATGATCGACGAGCGTAATCTCACTTCGCTGGCTGTGATTTTTACTCCTAGACCCCGTCTCCAGAGGCTTGACACGTGAAAATCGCCAAGACTGATCAAGGTAGACTGCTCAGTGACTTCACCGAGGTACACGCAAGCCCGGAACATCGTCCTACGACGTAAGTTCATTCGATCGTCATCCGATCGGACCGATCATAAATATGCGTATAAAAGCGCTAAACATTATGTCGTTGGTGTAAACGTTAATTGCGATCTAAGTGTTGCCGTGTAATCTCTTAACATCAATCGTACCATCGAAGAATAATTGCGGCGAGTGGATCTTTTATCTTCGCGAAGACGTGCGTTGCTTGTCTCGCGTCCGCGTTTATTAGCGTCGTCGTCGCAGAGCGCGCCGGTTGCATATAAACGACGGCAAGTAGAACTGGCCACGATACGCGTCAAGCTGGCTACCGCAATGTCGAATAACAATCGCGCGCCCTGCAAAGGCAGACACGATCCCCCTTGCACCGCGGATACGTTCATCTGACGAACGCGTTCAAAGACTCGTTCCCGATCACCCCACGTAGTTCTCTCCCCCTCCCCTCTCCCCCCCCCCTCCCTCTCTCTCTCTCTCGTCCTTGTTGAAAATGGAGACATTTGAAGAAAGACCTCTCGAATTTGGTCGCACCAAGTGGGGAAAAATCAAGGACTACTTGGAGACTTGCCGAACCCTGAAGAGGAGGAATTGCCGGCATTGGGGAAGTTCGAGTGGCACTTAAATCGGGAATAGTTCAATAGTCGGACCGGGCTAGAAATATTTCGCTGCATCGGCGAAAGGGGATCGTCACGCTGTCATCGTTATAAAGTTATTTGGCGTCTCGGCGAGAGAATCGAAAAGTCCCGCGGAGCTTTGAGGTGCTTTGTGATATCCAGATAGCGGCATAACAATAGAAGGGAGGGTAACAATTAAAAAGTGCGGGCAGTCGAGGGGAAATATATCAGAAAAGAAAGCGGAAAGGGTGAAAGGCAGGAGTTATTATACTCGCGAGCGAGCGAGCATTTTAAATGTTTGGATTGAAAGGGAGGAAAATCGAGCTGCGGAAAAATCGAGAAAAGGGCAATTAAGGCGGAGAGAATCGAGTAAGGGCCGAATCGGGAATCGAAACGTGAAAAGGTAGAAACGAATTCGGGCGGATGATTCGGCTGAGGTTCAGCGCGTCGCAGGAGTAGGAGCGACGGGGTCAAAACAGGACTTTCATTCGGCGTTTCGGCGGGGATACCATATACATCTTGCGCGGTGGTTAAAACAAAGACCGCTGAAAACTCGACCGCTCACGATCGAAAAGCCGACGGTAATTAACATACGATAATCGCGGGCCTCTTGCGGTTATTTAAACTGAATTTCCGGGAGAATTGCTCGATATTTCGGCGAGCGCGAGTGCGAGAGGGATATTTCGAAGATATTTCGGCAAAATTAGACGAGAAACGCGTGGTAAGCGCTAAAACTAAACGGGTGAATATTGCGCTTCGGGAAATTTGCTTAATTAAAAGCTCGTCGGTTGCTTTTTAATCGGCGCTTCTGTAAAGTGCTGATTAAGTATATCACAACGATAGTGCAGTGGTAGTATTATTCAGATCCTTGGCGAGGATGGGTGCCGGACTTCCGCAATACGGAAGCGCGACGGTAGCCGGCGAACTCATCGGAAATTCATCCGGCGTTTTGCGCAACTCGAGGAATAAATTGCGACCAAACCAAGGGGGATCGTTGGAAATTCATTCGGCATATCAGATCCCCGCGTAAAAGCGATGTAATTAAAGAAAACCCGCGAGAACGCCGGAGGAGGAGAAGGCCGCGAAGAGAGATAATTGAACATTCATGTAGCGTTTTAGCGCCTCTTCCTCCGTGAGGGAAAATAATTGGCGGTTCACTGGACGTCTTAATTGGTCCGCGTAGGAAAAAAATAAGATTAAAAAGGGAGAGATATCGACTCCGATTCCTGAGAAAAAAGAAGGGGGGATTTCAGACGATCGGCACAGCGGGATTAGCCCTCGACAGGATATCCGAGCGGGGTTTCAGAATGGCTGAATTAAAGATTCAATCGGCTACTTTTTTCATGAACTCGAATTGGAAGGTGCGAGGGCGAGTTATCGCCGACAAGCCGTTCGAACCGGTATTTCATTTGATTTCGAGGAAAACATATAATCCAGCGGAAATCGACGAGAGAGCGGAGGAAACGCGGAGCGAGAAACGTCATTGAACGCGAGATATTATTTGTAGCAGAATTCAGAGTCGCGCTCGAGAGGAGACGCGTCGTCTCTTTGCAAGGATTCGATAGAGGTAGGAAGAGGAAAGCGGTCGAGCGAGAAAAAGCGCGAGAAATTCCGGAGACTGTCGAGCGATTTCGAGCCCCGCGGTCTTCCTCGGCGATACAAATCGGTCTCCCCGGCTGTAGATTGTTTTGCGCGGAAGCTACTGCGGGAGGTACGACCCGCGACACCGAGACTGTCCCTGTGACAGAGAGTAAAACCACCCACACTCACGTACGAAAAAAAGGGTGGGCGGAGGGATCGTTGGAAGGGGGTGGCGCGCGAAGTCGTTTAGCGAAACTGATTTACGCGGAATCTACGCCCCGGGAATTTTCAGTGTATCCCCCCCCCCCCGGTATCGATCCCGCTACGCCCTCCTGCACTTCCGGCACGTCGACAAACGATCGCGGGAGAGATCGCGCGAAACTGCGCCAAAAATTCGCCGTTCTCGCCATTCGAGGCGGAACGTGATCGTACTTTTAGGGAAGTCGCCGAAAAGTCCAGCCACACCGCGCTCGGACGCCCTTTCTCCGCTGAATGGAAGCTCGCGAGAGAGGATGCGGGGGGCAGGAGGACGCGGGAAGAACGCCGGGAGGTTGCAATTTCCGGCCGGCCACGTAACAGTAAATTCATTGCGCCGGGAGCGTAATCCTGAGGGACGAGCGCGTAGGGCATTCCGAATTGAGATCTCGTGACTTAGGGCACGAATGCGCGTCCCATGGCGCCGTTTGTTAGGCAGCAACACACAGGGACTCGGAGCCCCCTCCATTTTCTCGTCCCGCCGCGCCGGTACGATCGCACGAAGTCGGCGAGAAGAATCCGGCGCGGCGCGAGAAACAAATGAAAAGCTTTCTTCTTTCCGGCGCGAGTCGCGAATGAGCGGAACGTGATTGGTTCAGGGGGAGGGGCACGCACTCTGCCGGACTGTAAGTTCCGTCACAGCGGATTGTGAGGATCTCGGGGTCGATACAGGCGAGAATTTCCTCTCGCGACGATCTGTCGAAGCGCGAAACTCGCGGCGAAAGCGAGAATTGAGGGAATTTAATCGAAACGAACGGTATAAGAGGAGAAATAATTTCTAGTTTCTCTCTCTCTCCCCCCCCCCCTCCCGTCACCCCGAAGTCGTCAAATATGGAACGACGAGAGTAATCCGATTTTTTCGTCTTAACGAGCGGCCATTTATACGCGCTCGTCGTAATGGAGATTCTCTCGGCACGAAAAGAGTCGGCAGTTGGGGAATAGGGATTTTCACTCGACGAAAGATCGTGAAATATTCGTCGCCGAGCTGAACGGGGAAATGTACTCTCGCCCGCAAAGCAAGCAACAGGAATCGCTCAATCCGGTATCGCTCAACGTCGAGGAGCGAGATTTAAGAGAAAAATATATCTATATATTTTTTTTCGTTGAATTTCACGCAGGAATCGCGACCGTAATCTGCTCGCGCATCGTTTCGATCATGCATGTTGAAACGTGAGAGTTCAAAGCGCTCCTCTTGCCGACGATGCCGCTAAGAGGAAACGTATCTTCTTTAGCGAGCGCAGGAACTGGGGAATGGATTTAACGACATCGCGAACCCTCGGTTTCTCCTCGGCAAATCTAAATCGGAACGTTCGTCAGTGCCAGAAAATCCCCGGAATTCGGTATTGTAATTATCTAGAAAAATGTGATACGTCGATTCAAGCAAAAAAAAAAGCTTCTTCCGTTCTGCGAAAGTTCTCATGCGAAAAAGTCTCGTACACCCCTCGCGAGAGTTCAATTGTACGTTTGCATAGGCGAAAATATCGTGGGCGACGCTTCTTAAGGCTTCTCGAGAAATCACCGTTGATTTATACCCGGAAGATTCGCCCACAGCTTCCCGGAAGCGCCAGGTCGCCTCTTATCGCACTGGGAGCCGCGGAGGCGGGGCGAGATCGCGGGAAAAGCGGGTCGTCTCGACGCTGGTGAAATTCGCGGTGAACGCTGGTCGACGATCGCGCCTAATAGAGGCGACGACGCTGTTTTCAATTCCCGTCGGGATAACGTCGGGATCTGTCGGGCGGAAACGAGCGACGGAAAACTACCGTCGGATTCGATTTGGTAACGGGACGAGGTGCACCCTCGCGGGTGGGCGAAGCCGAAGACGGAGGTGGAGGGTCGCTGGGTAGGTACGTGATCGTCGTGGGTGGCTCGTGCCGGAGGGGGAGAGGAGGGGTAAAAGTGCAGTCGAAGCAATATAACGTGGTCGAAGCAGCCTCCGGAGGAGAGGCTGCAGGCCGCTGCAGGTCTCGATATATCCGCGGCGAGGGGGGAAAGAGATAGATAGAGAGAGAAAGAGAGAGAGAGAGGCGGCGTGTGCAACGACGATCGAAGGAGGGAAACCGACGACGATCGAGCGAGCAATGTCAGCATGTCAGGGGATGCCAGCCACAACCACGTTTCTTCTCCCCGCGTCTTTTTTTTTGTTGGAAACGCTAATGGATCCGCGGCACGTGTATCGTATGACAATAGGTCGATGACGTTGACGAACGATTAGGACGATTTCATCGGAACGACTTTCGTTGAAGGCTCCGCGCCACCCGGCGCTCTACGTCAGCGGAACTAGTTGCCGCGCGAGGAGAGTAGTATTTGAGGTATCGCGTTCGTAGAGTCGCGCGTTTCATTCGAGCGCCCGCATTAAAGCGCCCCGCCCTGGACGAGGGAGTCGCGTGGAATTCGAAACGAGGGAGATAATTAAACCCCGAGGAGCTCGGGGTAAATTCGCGTTGAAATCGCGAGTGAAGAGGCGATCGACTGACGTTGCGGCACGATGCAGATCGTGCAACTCGGAATTCGCGACGGTGGGAAACTGGAGAACGGTAAACGACAAGTGAGTCGCAGACATTCGAGATGCGAGCTGGATCGTAGCTCCAGTCCCCTAAATCCGATACCCTGTCTGAAACAGCGCGCCGTTTAAACAACCCGCCCGTTAGACGACATTCGGAGTGCAACGCGCGCGATCGTGTATGCAGTGAGAGCGAGCGGTATCGATTATCCGGAAATAACGTTTTGCGATCGTGCCTGCGACCGCGAAACTAAAGCGCCGGATTGTACTGCCGGGCAGTGTATGATCAAGTGTATGACCGGCGAGCGTGCACGACGTGCGCATTAACGAGCTCATCCGACCGTAATCGTGGAAATATTGACGGAGGTCCACGGGGATTGGTCTTCAATTAACGACCGCGTACGGCGGCGAAAAAACAAAGTTTCTGATAAACGAGGGAAACAAAATTGCGTTGTGACAATTAACACCGCGCGGTCGGTGCGGAAGCAATGTAATTTATTCGATAAACTTGATCGTTTTGAAAAAAAAGTCCACAACGACGGTCTTAAGAATAATTGAGAGAGGCTGGAAACAATTACAACTCGTTGCCATTGCTTCCAGCCTTCTGCGTAACATCAAGATGTTTTGCTCGAGAACTTACGTTGCATGATGTTAAGTAGAATAACGTGTTGGCGACACTCGCGTAAGATACAGATTAATCGAGAAAATAGTTAATTGAGACGCCAAACGTAACTAATTGATAGATTAATACACGAAGGAAGCGCGGTTGCCCTCGGGTTCAAGGACCACGGTAAACATCGAGCTTCTTCAAGTTCTAGTCCTGCCGTCGAGTGAATCGATCGGTTATTATTTCTGGTGGTGCGCGAGAGGATTGTGGCGTTCCACGGAAACTGGCAAAGATCACAGTGTCCGTAATCGTTTTTGAGTACCATGACATTTGAGTGTTAACGCGAAAAGGACCTCTCGATCCCGTTATGACGGCTCGAGATGCCTCGCGCGCCCTATCGTGTTCGCATCTCCCGTCGCCGCCGCACCGGATACCCTCTGGAGTCCTTGGTCAGGATCGCATGGGCGTACCCGAGGACCGCGAGAGTTAATTAAAATGCGAGACCTGAACGCCACCGCATGCGCTGCTTTGTACGACGGCGTCGAGTGGTCAAGCCTGTGGAACGTGATTACCCTAATCGTCCTGGCGATCGTCGATGTCATGGTGGTGGTAGGTAACGTCCTGGTCATCTTGGCCGTCTACTGTACCAGCAAGCTGAGGAACGTGACGAATATGTTCATCGTGAGCCTGGCGGTCGCCGATCTCATGGTCGGCGTCGCCGTCCTGCCATTCAGCGCGACCTGGGAGGTTTACAAGGTAAGATCTTTTCTCGGTGTCTTAACTGGCAGTGGAATAAGATGTTAATGTGATAGGAAAGAATTAAGGTAGCGTTGAGACTGAAACGTTCAATGCACTGTGCATACTCCGGGAAAGAGAGGACAGTTAGCAACCCATTTTGGGGCCCAAAATTAGTAATCGAACGATTTGGATTGTTCGTAACTCTAATCTTTCACGAATTTTACCCCGCGTAACTAAAAATCGCGATTAGCTATTCTATTTACATCCAAGATTTTTAAGTAATACTAATCAATTCTCTCAATTAGTTCTGTCGATATTCAGTAACGCAAAGATAATTTTCACTTAAGAGGCACCGAAATGTTAAGCTGCTTAACTACAAAAAAATGGTCAAAATTTTTCCCAGAGTATGCACGGAAAGACCGGCTAAGGCAAAAATGACTGAAATTAAAATGTTGCCGTATAAATAGTAGGGGCATCTGCGTTGTTTTGCGTTGCAACATTCACTGAGTTTGCTGCACAAAACGCACATAGTTGCCTCCACTTATCATACCAGTGTGGGTGTAACAACCACAGGTATTGCTGTCCCAAATATTATAACGTATTAATATTATAACATGCGGTAACTATATCGGTCTCTCCGTGTGTTTTTATTTCTAAAAATAATACATTTTTCTAACATTATGCAAAGAGATAAAAGCAAAGTAACAAAAAGAAAGCGTTCGATAAAAGTCACAATTTATCGCATCACAAAGATTCGATCGCGCTTTATTAAAGCAGCGCATCGTGTTTCGCACTTTATAACGCCCTGTCGCAGCGTGTGCATCTTGAATCGACGACATTCACTTTGTAGCAATCAATAGTGCATTTTTCATACAACGGCCGGGCACAATAGCATCAATCGCAACGGCATTATGACGTATCGATACAAGTTGCCTGGTAGGGAAATTTCATCCACTGGACGCTCACTAACGCACGGTTTTCGACAGGATCGATTTACCCTCATAGTTTGGACAAAGCGCCGAATTCTGTCCCACGCAATATCCGCTTGTTGTCACGCTCGAGATGTATTTGGCGGTGGATGGGGTGCGCATTGTTTACAGAAAATATATTCTGAACTGCAATATTTGAAAGTAATATTTAAACGTGTTAACGTTGGAACGTGCAGTCCCTCCGATATTCAAAGCTGATTTTGATTTTCATTCGCGCAAGTGTTCAAAGTTGTCCTCGCATTTTTTGAACATCATAAATGCCTGTCTCTTCTGTCTCTTTAACATCTTTACCGTGATTTATCGAAGGTAGATCTTGTAATAATTTCCCGTATCTTATTCAACATTGTTGCGCGATGTGTCTCTTCTGTTACAAAATGATTTTTTTCTGCTAGAAGTTTTTAGAACAATATTTTCATAGTTAAAATACGCTCGTACTCAAGATCAATTTTTCTAAAAATAGATACCACATGTGAAGAAAGTGGTATCTCCAAGTCACGAGTTCCTTCCTCCTTCCGAGAGTATCGCATCGTTAATCGCGAAACACTCTCGCTCTCCTCTCGCTCATCTTTTTCTCACGAGGTAATTTCTCCGGCGTACCTCTCAGGGACTCGTTGCGCCATCCCTTTGAGCTTTGTCTCGTCTTTTTTCTGATATGGTTAAAAAGTATCGCGAGAAGAACCGTGCGATGGAACGGCGCGGCGGTACGTTTTACCCTGAAGTCGCCAAACGAGCCGTGCTGGTTTAAGTGGGATTCGCGGAGGATGCAACAGTTTGTTGGCTTTTCCCTTTGGTCCTTCCAGCCTGAATTTCCAGCGTGCCTGCGAATATTCGCGTGTACATACGCGAGTGTTCATCGGGGGTCGAAAACGGGTCGATGGGCAGTGGATGGAGCACGGGAGCGGCGTGAATCTCGCTCTTAGCTCGAGCCGTGAATGAGGTGTTCCATTTAACTGGAGTTTACACGATATAGCACAAGTTAGTTCATCGCGCACTTATCGCGATACGACTCTTTCTTCGGGTCTTCCTTTCTCCTTGCCCCTCGCTTTCGGGGAAATTGGTCGAGTGGCGCGGCACAGAGCGTCTTCTCGGCGCAAAAGGAAAAACTACGATAACGCGCGTCCCCCCCCCCCCCCTCGATGCCAGAAACGCACGGTGTGTGTTTGCGATTTATATATTTCAGTGGGGAACTTCACTTAAATAACTTCATTCAGACTTTGTGTGCGGACCAAAAGTATCGATCGCTGCGCCAGTGAGACACGGGAACGGTGGATGCTAAATAAGAAATGAACAGTAGAAGTCTATTAAGCGTCGGCTGGTTATAAACGTAATACACACGTTTGCACTTGAGTAAATAATAAAAATAGATATCGGAGTATTGAAAAGTAAAAGTAAATAGACGCTTCAGTATTCGGCTAGTTTATATTAATCTCAATCAGAAGCAGTTAGAGACAAAGAGATGTAGGAGAGGATTACAAGCAACGTGTATACTGCGTTAATTTAATTTTTTCTCCCGTCATTTTCCCGAAACTAGACGCCTCGGGACATCGTTTAATTAATGTGCCACGAGTATGCTGATAGAATGTATCTGTATACGTTGCCTACTAATTACATGAGATAAAATTGGCTTTAATTAAATAATGCGCTGTCAGGCGAGTTTGAGAACGAAGTTAAAAACGGAGCTATAGAGAGGTGTGTATACGTATTTCTATACATTTATACGCAATCGCGTGAGTAACAGATTATAGTTAAGTAAAATAGTTGTCGCCGTGCCTGAGCGCGCGAAATCTCAGGCCTAACATTGGTGAAATATACTCGCTTATTATTTAAAAACTATTATAGCCTCGACATTTTTGTATTAGAATTTTCGTCTTAAAATTTTCTAAAGAATCCGTGATTAGAAAAACATCCGGTGGTTTTAGTACACCCTGCATAGAATTTTAATATTTTGAATGCAGCAAAATTGTTCTTTTTCATAAAGTAACAGAGTTCCCTTTTCAAGAACGGTAATTATCGTCGGCCGAAAGACATTCTCAAAAGCGGATTTTTTAAAATAGAAATCCCCGTTATTCGATTTGGATCATGGCAGAACGCACGGGGAAATGGGAACGAGTCGGTAAATTTAAAACATTAACAATCGCGAGGAGGATCGATTTGATTGCAATTCGTCGGTGACCGTGCGCAATCATAGCTACAGTAATCTGGCTGTAAATAATGAAGGTTAATTACTGAATTCCGATATATCGGTAGCGCACGTAACACCGCCGGCCGAGGCTTATTCTGAACAGGTGGTTGTACTCCCGTAGAGATGCAGTTGTATTGCACGTCATTATGCGGATGCGTTGTGCGTACAACGCGAGCGCATAGAGATGCGCGCGTGCCGCATGCAGTACATGGGATTCCATTGTACGTGGTTACATTGTGAATCACTGTCCGACCTGAATGGGAATTGATCCGACGATTGACACGTGCCAACCCCGCGTCTTATCTGCCCGCTAGGTTTTGCGAGTAACGAGATACGCATCGCTGTCAATCACACGCACGAACGGTCCGTCTATCCGCGATAAGCTTCGCCCTATTTAATGCCCGGCGTATCCGATAGTTATTTTTTCCCCCAATTTCGCGATGTGTTACCGATTCGGCCATTCAACTCCTCGCGCGCTTTTAAATATTTGGAAAATGAGGCGAACGGTATCAGTGAACCGTATATTGCGATAAAATCAATTTTGGACCTGGTCGTATTTGACGTTAAATAAATGGTACCCTTTAAAAGTCAATCAGCGGATTATCACTGAAAACAGTGAATAGTCACTGATTTGCAGTTATAAGCGTACCACTGCAATTTTCAGTAGTATACTTATAACTGCAAATCAATGACTATTCACTGCTTTCAGTGATAATCCACTGATTGACTTTTAGAGAGTAAAGACTGCGCGTTACTGCATATTTGCGCCAAATAGCGGTAGATTCTTTACCGGTTTTGTATGTTAAGTGCATTTCTTTCGAACGTCTTTTCTCTCGAAAGGTATGGATTTACGGGAATCTCTGGTGCTCCGTGTGGCTGGCGGTCGACGTTTGGATGTGCACGGCGTCGATATTGAATTTGTGCGCCATCAGCCTGGATAGGTACTTGGCTGTGACCAGGCCGGTCAGCTATCCTCAGGCAAGTACTATTCAGCATTCATGAAAACGATTATCCCGAGGAGATCGGATGCGCGTTACGCAGCAATTTGGCCACTCGGATTCGAAGTGGCGTTGCTTCGCCGCGGGAATATTCCGCGTAACACTTTGCAGAAACGAAAGATACACCGAGGGAAGGTGAAGCTAGAAGCGAGTTCTGTAGACGGTCAAATTCTCAGGATTACTTTGCATTTTTAGTACACGCTGCTCGAAATATTCTGCTCGCAATGTTCGATTTCGGTCCTGACGTGTCTCTTGTATCTCATAAAAGTTGCACTGACAGTAAAACAACAGGAACATAAACGTGCGCGCGTCGAAAAGCGAAAAACGACGAACGTATAATTGAAGAAATGTGAATTTCCTCTTCTAACGCGAACGCGATATACCGACTAATCGCATTATCTCCTTATCTATACAATTGTCGTGTCCCCGGCGCGCGTTTCCTCGTTAATCTCCTAGTTTTATTTTTCTCGTTTCCATAAATCCAGCTTATGTCGACAAAGAGGGCTAGACTGCTGGTGGCCACCGTTTGGGTTTCGAGCTTCGTTATCTGTTTTCCGCCTTTAGTGGGCTGGAAGGACAAACGGGTGCGTACCAGCCACGGCTTAATCCGCCTTCGTTATTTCGGGAGGATTTTCAATTGTCATCCGATCGTTTTGCCCGCACGCGTTTTTAATCGCTTCCTCTGTTCCCGCAGTCGCATATTACGTACAATGAAACGTATCCCCTATACGGCCCGTCCAACACCACCACTATACTCGTGCCGATGAAGCCGTGCCCATGGATCTGCGAGCTGACCAACGACGCCGGCTACGTCGTTTACAGGTAAGTCCCTCAAGGGCTCTTGGATCTTCGCTACATGCACGCCGGATTATGACGCGTGGCAGCGCGAGCGAAATTACACGAATGCCTTCCCGTTGCATTATGCATATCGGGATAAATTGGCTTTTTTCCGTTGTCCGGCGGAATAGCGGGGTGCCGTAAAAAATGGCAGAATGCGCCAAGCAAATGCCATTTTAATGTCTTTCCTGCATCGCAGAGATGCTATTCAATTCAATTATGTAAAATTAATTTATTTTAATGTACGCTGCGGGAATAAATCGGAATACGGGATTAAAATTACATTTGAGATATCGAGTTTTCCCACTCGGATTTATTGTATAATATGCAACTGGATCTCTGTCGCATAAGTACATTAATATCTAACGTCTGTGTTAAAGTGTATCAACAGACGTTACAAACATGAAGAATTTACGTGATACGCGAATATTGAATCTTATAAACGTGTCAATTAAAGATCATACTTTCGCAGCAGAAATGTATCGATTGACATTTTCACAAGGCAAAAGCATAGATTTCCTCTCTCATATGTGTCTTGGCGCATTTTATTTCCGTTTAAAAGTAAATGAGCTCAACAAATACGAGGGCCATTTGAAAAGTTCTCGAATGAAATACACGCCGCACAACAGACGTTAGATAAAAAGTTTCAACTTGTAAAAACACGTGTAAAGTTCAATCAAATAGTTCATTTTTTATGATCCTCGAACGAGCACACCCGTGTGACTTTTGCGAGATGAACCGGTGCTATTTCGTTGGAGCTTTACACATGTTCCTAGAAGGATTGAAACTTCCAGTTTAACTTTTCCAACGACCCTCGCGGTGCAACATTAGCTCTTGAATGACATTTCACAGACTGCGAGTAAGACCCCGCCAATAGCGACAGTATTTTATTTCCATGTCGTTATATCGTATTGTGCGCGTCAATCAAGGTCGATTATATACGCGCCGTACGGTGCCGATCAATACGTTGATAAATCATAAACGCCTCGATGCGTTTGGAATACTGGTCTGCGACGTGTTTCTCGATTGGGTCTATCGCCAAAGCGGGCAGTCAAATTAATATTCACGATGGTGTGATCCGCGTTCGACCGCACTTGCGCCGGCGCCGCGCGAAAAAGTGCCCGATGTGTTATCGCGAGATGGGGAACCGCGGGTATCACCGGCGTAACGGGAAATCGCAATTGCACTGTGTTGCAGCGCCCTAGGCTCCTTCTACATACCGATGCTGGTGATGCTATTTTTTTATTGGCGGATCTACAACGCCGCAGTTTCCACGACGAGGGCCATTAATCAAGGTTTTCGGACAACAAAGGCCTCGAAAATGCTTGGCACCAGGTAAACCCCCGCGCCAGGTTTTTTTTCCCCCCCGAAGCTTCCGTTCGCCAGAATAGTGAATTTATTGTTTATAATCCTGCAATTGCTTTTTATCACGCATTTATTTGTATCGCTTTCCCGCGATCGGCGTGAACGCCAATCATCTCGCGGTTAATTATCCCTTTTATTTGCGTAAGCGAGCAGATCTAGTCGGACACGAATTATTCTGCCAATAGAAAATTTTAATATTGTGCACAGGACAAAATTCGTATTACTCCTGTCACTCCCATCGTTCTCGTTTAATGAAATGGCGCCGCGAATAAATTTTTCCGCGCATTCGAGTGTGTTTTTCCGCGCTTTGTTCTCTCGAGTCGTCATTTCGCTCACGGGGTCTGCGATGGAGCTTCTTCTCCGCGCGAAAGAGGAAGCCTTTTTATGGAAGCTTCATTATGCCGCTGACAGGCATAATAGAGAATGCCTATGCAGAAGCACGACGCATTTTCCTATTCTTATGCAGGTTCGAACAACAAAGACTGACCTTACGAATACACCGTGGCCGCGGTAGCGTCCACAACGGCAGCAACAACGGCAACTCGAGAAGCCCGGACTCGAGCAGCCGCAGCTCCGTCAAGCGCGAGAAGATCAAGATCTCGGTCTCCTATCCCAGCACCGAGACGCTCAACACGAAGTGCAACACCCTCGAGAGAACCCCGTCGAGATGTTCGCAAATCTCGGTCCATTATAGCAACGGGCAGACGCAGACGCAGCTTTGTCCAACCTCGCGCAACACGCATCTTAAGGTAAATTAGATTTCAACGAGTTCCATTCGCACAGATCTCCTCGCGAGTACAATTAACTGCTCGAGACGCACGGATCCTTTCTCTCACTTTTCGACTCCTGTTTTTTGTCTTCCAAGAACAACGGCGTCCTCCTCTCCGTCGCAAAACTGTCGATCTATAGCTTTCGTCGTTTTCATAGCACGGAAAATAGTTCGGAATGAACTACGTGAAGGTTTTACATACGTATTTACTGTTTTTATTACTGTAACTTATCAATTAATAAAACGTGAGGTAAATTCCATTCGGAAGCTCTCGCCGATGTCGAACATGCATAAATTTCACGTTCCACTGCATTCCCGGTGACATTTTGTCACTGCAATTTCGAGTGCGCGCGCTTTTTATTGGGCGACTAATCGACGGCATTTTGCAAAATGGAACGAATCAAGGATCACTTTTTCGTTCAATAAAACCGAGGCACTCGTTCGATCGGACGGGGCTATCGAGCCGTATAAATTCACTCTTTTTCCTCGTTTCCCTCGCTGTTTTGTTTCACGGGGATCTCCGAGCTTTTATTTGCCGTTTAAATCGTCGATCGTAATTATTCTCCCGCATGTGAGTTCGGATATCGCGCGGATTTACAGACGGGCGAGAGGAAGCAGGATATGGACACGTTTCGCTGAGGGCTCTCGTGTCATGTTTAATCGTTGATATCGACAACTCTATGTATGTAGGGAAGAAGTACAAATATATTCCTTCATCGCTTCTATGTTGACAGGCGTGGGTAATTTTTAAAGATATCACGCTGTTTCTAGACAGGCGCGAATTAAAATATCGTTTTTAACAAAAACGTATTCTCGAAAACGCGAGTGCAGACGCGAGGTAAAGATTTGCGAGCAATCGAGAGAAAAAACGACAAGACGATCGTCCGTAACGTTTTACATCTATAAAAGCGTGAATAATTAAATTTCAATCATTGGAAAAAATCTATAAATCCCGCGGTCGGCAGTTATCTATTTCACATTTTGATTCCGTCCGTAGGAGAGTCGAAAAGCGAGACGTCGAATTCTCAGCTGAGTTTGATCGCCGAGTATGATGGCGATACTTTCGGCCGATAGTGATTTTAGACGCTGCTCGCGGTCGTCATGAAAAAAAAAACGGCCGTTTTACGGCGTCCATAAATCTCGCGCGAAAGTGAATCTATATTTTATAGACACACGTGGCGTGTGTACGTGACGATTGCGCGTGTGTATGTGTGGCGAAGTCGTAAAGGCCGACTTGTTAAATTCCCTTTCAGGTGGGTGGTGTCAATAGGGCCGGCAGCAGCAAAAGACCGAGCAGGCGGAGCAGCTGCGAGAGTCAGGTGACCGGCGACGAGTTGTCGCTGCGCGAGATGACGCCGAGCAACGAGGAGAAGCCACGAGTGATGAAGCTGGGCAAGAGAAACATAAAAGCCCATGTGCGTTCCCCCCCCCCCCTCTCTCTCTCTCTCTCTCTCACGTCGGCCCGTTTTTACGGCTTTCACACCTTCGGCTATCACGTGGACCCATTTTTCAAATATTACATAAAAACGCACGAGCAAGGTTCAGTACTTTCGTAAAATGTTACCTCGCACGCCATTGACGTTGCCTGCACGACGGAAATTCCATCTCAATTTACCCGTCGATTACGTCGATTACTCGTCGGGATTTGTTTAGACCGCGTACAGTTAATGATCGCGATATGAGTGCATGTTACAAGAGAGTTAATACGGGTAGGACTCGTTTTACAGCAGAGTCGGGTTCCAACAAAACAGGTGAAAGCGAAAAATCGTAAAGCAAGATCAATATACAATTATACATTCGTACAATGAGGCAAGTACCGAAATTACCAAAACTTTCCCAAGCACGTACGAATACGTGCGTTAATCGTTGTTTTTTAAATAATAAATTAAGTTTAGACATTTTAAACGCACGTTTTGTACTTGAGATAATTTTGACAAAAGTTGCTACAGTGAAAAATGGATCATTGTAAAACGGGGACCTACCTCTCCCACTTTGTTGAAAATAAAAGACACACGGGGAGAACGATTTCTCTTAAAATTTATCGTGAAAATCATGTAATCGTGGAACAACACGGCATTTCGATGAATTTTATGAGAGTTTTCTGAAATTTCGCCATACATTTTACTAGTAATTAATTATACTCACAAGTATACGTTTTACTAGTAAAAGTAATGTCCCGCGATTTTCAGGATAAAGAGTGAGAACAAGTGTCCATAGGCAAATGACCCAATTTTTGTGGTACTCGATTTTGGTCACAAAGTGAAGGTGCCAAACGAAAGGTCTCGTCACGCTGATTACAGATATGTCAGTCTCAGAGTGTACTTATTTAACGTTGCAGAGATATCGGGCTCCAAAGGTTCCCACTTTACCGAAATGATCTACAACCAAAGGCATCCACTTGGCCGAGAGCCTTTGATACCTGGTTGTAAATCATGTTGGTGAAGCGATTCAGTGCCATTCTGAACATGTCAGTGACAGAACAAAATGCCTTTTCGTTCGGATAAGTAGCTCCATTTTCGTGGCTTTGCTGATCACGTTGATCACTTGATGCTTTTTGGAGCCCGATATCTCTGGAACGTTAAATAGGTACACTCTGAGACTGACATATCTGCGATCAGCTTGACGGTACCTACTTTGTGATTTTACAGTTCAAATACGTTTATATAACCGGGCGAGAACATTGATCCGCGCGCAGAACTCGATGGAATACATCATAGTTTACGGTACATAAAATGAGATGAAACTTTAGGGTTTTCTTTTATGCGACTAGGTCTTATGCGACCAAAATCGAATGCAAAGAAATATGGAGCCGATCTTGTTCCCACTCTTTTAGGAGAAATTTCTCTCCGCGTGCCAACTCTCTTAGAAGAATACGCATATTTTAACAAAGTCGAGGGGACATTTAAAATGTTGCATCTGTCGACGGCGATACTTGAGACAGAGCTGTACGCAGGTGAGGAGATTTCGCATGGAGACGAAGGCGGCGAAGACCCTGGGCATCATCGTCGGCGGCTTCATTATGTGCTGGCTGCCCTTCTTCACCATGTACCTGGTGCGCGCGTTCTTCCCGAATCACATCCACCCGACCGTCTTCAGCGTGCTCTTTTGGCTAGGGTACTGCAATTCCGCGATAAATCCGTGTATCTACGCCCTCTTCAGCAAGGACTTCCGCTTCGCTTTCAAGAGAATCATCTGCTGCAGATGCTCCTGCATACAGCGCGCCAACACCCTGCGACGTGGCAGCGACGGCAGCCAACTGGCAATGAGGTCAGTGTAGCAATTTGTATTACAAAGTGGCGAACGCATTCTGCGATTTATTTTCGCGCGGTCGCGCGGTATAAAAGACGCGTTTACGTCGGCGCCGCGATTTGTATCACAAAAGTGCGTGGAGCTGCGTTCGGCGATCCATTTTTACGCGATCGCGCCTTCGCGTCTCGAGGAGGGAGAGATACGAAAAGAAAAGAGACAAATCGCCTCGTCTATATTTTGAATTTGAGATTTACACCTGGATCGAGTCGCGCGATACCAGCCAGTCTACGGCGTATCGATCTTTTATCCGCTCGATTACCGTATTCGCGGAACCTAGACGCGAAGAAAGTGTTCTTTTTTTATACTGTCGCATAAAAGAAGATCCTAAAATTTCATCTCATTTTATGTACCGTACACTATGATGTATTTCATCGAGTTCTGCGCGCGGATCAACGTTCTCGCCCGGTTATATAAACGTATTTGGACTGTAAAGCGCGCGATCAGTCCTAATGGCTCGGGTCTGAAACAACAACTTTGGGTAAAATCGAGCTGAAAGATACGCTGTCTAGAAGATTCTGTAAAACCCAAGCTCTAGTTAGCTCGAAGAGGGACGCTTTCATTTGAAAACGAAAAATCCGCAGAATGATCGCAGCCGCGGGGTGTCTCACCGGAACGATTCTGCGTGTGTCTCGCAGGAACGAACGAAGCCCGAGCTACTCGATCCGCGTGGCCCAGCACGGGACCTCCATCGACGACTCGGATCCGGATCCGTCGTTGGAGGCGACGCACTCGCAGAGCGAGTCCAGATGATTGTAGCGACACGTCCGATCTGGCACGCAGCGCGTCACCTTCAATCCCCGGTCCTCCAAGGCGAGGATATTCTCCTTCTGATGACGGCGGTGCTCCGGGAGCCGCGCTCGACGGGAAGCGTCCGTCGCGTCGTGACGGCGACTCGTCGCGGCCTCCTCGAACCGGCGAATTGGTGTGCCAACGTAAATCAGTTTCGCCATTTCTGCCAGACTAACGGTGCGTCAGCGTTTCGCGTAAATTAGACAGCTCGGTGAAGCCTGGAAATGTCCGTCGACTCTATCCGCGTCTCGCCGTGAAATGCACGAGATCGGTAGTTGAGTGGCAGGCAGGTAACAAGCGACAAGAGTCGGACGGGCGAGCAACGTTATCGCTCGCTCGGCTCGTCTCGTTTACCCTTTGCCGTGGAAGAGGAGGAAGGAACCGATGCTCGCGGCTCGTCCGTGTAATCTCGCAGCAACAGCGACGACTCTGCGCTAAGTCAACGGGGGGTGTGAAAGACCCGGGATGGTTTCTTGAGCGAGGCAGCGAATAATTTGCCGCTTGATCCGCCTCTCCTCGTTAAATCGCGCGACCCCGCTGTAACGAGTTTATATACGGAGTCGACAGAGGGGTAAGTCAAGTAGCGGATTGCTCTTTCTCTCTGCTGGCTTTTCTGTCGTCCATCGGAGAGGGAGGAAAGAAAGAAGAGGGAACCGTGCGATTTGCCTTTGCACTGTAATTGCGGCGGGGCCGATGGAAACTGAGTGGCAGGTGGAGGCGCGTCTACTCTGAATTGGATCTTAGGACCTGGAACGCGGCGCTTCATCCGCGAGAAGCGAAGGAAGGAAGGGAACAAGAAAGAGAGACGAGGGGGAGAGAAATATCGACTTTCCTACGCGGATCTCGTCGTCCTCCTCGCGGGAATCGTCGCCTCGCTTCGATTTGCAGCTCCGGGCTACACGAGGAGCCTCATCCGCGGTTTGTCCCTCGCAAAGCCGACCGTCTTCTCGCGTCCGGCAGACGCGGTAAACTATCGCACACGGTTTCAACATACGTTACATGTGTCCCACGCAGATCGCGACCGACCGGGCAGCCTGATCGGCCGTCGACCGGATCCGCGGAGACGATAATCTCCGAGAGTTTCGCATAATGTGTACGCAATCGGTGTGCCTTCTTTCGTCATCGCGCAGTAGAGTGCACCGTTTTCGCGACGAGAGAAAATTATCCGCTCTCCGTTCTTCCACGCGCACACGCATACACGTACACACATATATACACACAGAGCCGTTTTGCAATGTTATTTATTCGTTATTCGGTATACGATACGACTCGCGCAAGCGAATTACACGTCGTGTAGCTTCTAGTCCCTAAGCCCTTCCCCCGGTTTCGAGCGGACGATCGGATCGACCGGTCGTCATCCCGGCGCTCGCTCCTGATCGTCCGCGACGCGTCTGTGCGTATTGCGGCCGCGCGTTCGTCCCACGTCGCTGGAGCCGAAGACTCGCGCTTCGAAGAGACCTGGAGAACCGTCGCGAGTCGTCCTCAACGAGCCTCGGGAAAGGAAGTAGGCGGTCGGACAATCGCCCCCCCCGCGTTCCGAACGGGAACGGAACGTCCGACGGACGTAACGAGCGACGCAGACCTCCTATGTACATATCGATATCTATGTGTACGCAGCAACACGCTAAGTATGTCGTTATATCTTCTATATGAACCGATGTTCGCGCGCATGCTCGCATAAATCGGCGTTTCTCCTCTCCCTCCTGCCCTCCATTCACACACCCCATTCATTTCTCATTCCGCGTCTTCTCATTCGAGCGATCCTCCGGAATGCATCCGGAATAAGATCGCGACTCCGCGCCGACGCTGATCCATGCGTTCCCCCTTTATCCCGCGCGCGATCTGCGAAATGTTGGAGCGCACCGTCGTCGCGCGTCGTGTATCACAATAGGGCAACATCGCGACGACTACACCCGAATGACACTTGACACGTTACATTTTTTGCAGAAACCTCTCCGATTCACCCTCCCTCGGTTAGCCCGTCATAGCTTTGCGCAACTGTAATTCGACGGGAGCGGCGAGACGACCGATCGATTTAAAGAAAAAGAATGCGTGATTCATGTATTATGTGATATATCGTATAAATAAGTAAAAACAAACGGATGGAAATAAATATGTGAGTACGTATAAACGGATCCTTGGCGGTGTCTTTCGCCCTTCGCGTTGCACTTGGCGCGGAAGGTGAGCGGCGCAGAGGCTCGTTCCACGGTACGTATCGAAATCAATGCTACTGAAAATTTAAAAAGGGGAGAAAGCAACAGATTCCTCTGCTTTATAACGTAACGTGGTGTAATCTCACAATATTTTCACATATAATTAGAAAATCTACACGGAGAGAATTTTCTCTTGAAAGTTGCCCTGAAAATCGTGTAATCGTGGGACGACGTGGCATCTCGAAGAACTTTGTGGGAGTCTTTTGAAATTTTACTAATGCATTTTACCAGTAAAATGTATGGTGAAATTTCAAACAACTCTCAATCGTGGGACAACATGGCGTTTCGAAGAACTTTACGAGAGTTGCTTGAAATTTTACCGTGCATTTTACTAATAAAATTTATGGTAAAAGTTTCCTGAAATGTTAATCCTACATTTTGCTAATAAAATGTGTGGTAACATTTCAACCAACTCCCATAAAGTTTTTCGAAATGCCGCGTTGTCCCACGATCACATGATTTTCAGGGTAAATTTTCTCTCCGCGTAAATATTTAAAGAGCAGCAGATCATTTATAACGCGTAAAAGTTATAAATGCAAAAAAAGCATAACGCGCTAAAAGTTATCCTCAGTGGCGTAAGAATTTTCTCTAATTATCAGAGAAGCTCTAGCATACCCATGGAGATTCCTTTCATGCAGATTTTAAAGCCGCACTTTCTGGGATTAAGTGTTAATTACGCACCCCCGATTACCGGCAACCTATAAAGTGTTCATACAAACGAGTGTCGCGACCGCGTTTCTACAATTGAGCATCTTGATTCAGTAATTATTTCATTATGTTTCATCATGTTTCATCGTGTTTCCACCGCCGCCGACTCCCTCGGGATTCTAATTTGCGTCCCGTACAACTCGAGCTGAATCTCCTCGACGCTCCTGCCCTTCGTCTCCGGCACCATCACGGAGACGAATATGGTCCCGATTAAACTGATCATACCGAACGTAGCGAACGACGACGAGATTCCCATGAGATCCACCATGTCCTGGAAGCACTTTGTCACCAGAAAAGCCAGCGACCAGTTGCACATCGCGGCGGCAGCGCTCGCCGCGCTTCTCACTTTGCTCGCGAACAGCTCGCCGACCATCAGCCACGGTATGGGGCCGAAGCCGATGCTGAAAATCACGATGAACGCCGCGAACGAGAGCAGAGGGATCCACGAGAAGCTCGTGAGATCGTGCGAGTTCTGGAACAACCGAGAGCTCGCCAGTCAATTAAGCAATCTCGATGTAGGAACGTGAAATTGCAGATCGAAAATTAATATTCATAGGCCCGGTTTTTCATTTTCTGGCTAACTGTTAACCAGAAGTTAGTCGACTCTCCATCTTTTTTTATGTTATTATCTACGAAGAGACAGAGAATCGACTAACCCCTGGTTAGCAGTCGACCAGAAAATGGAAAAAAGCGAGCCACAGTCACTGAAATCGAATATTTTTAACATTATAGATTTGCAATTGAAGTTTTTTAAATTTATCGACAAGGGTTTACCTGGAAATGAAAATACCCCGACAACGTGAACATGGAAACAGCCATCACTGACGCGCTGATGAACAACAATAGCTTTCTGCCGGCGCGTTCGATCATAATGGTCGAAAAATACGTGGCGATCACTTGTACGACACCGACGATCACCGACGACGTGGACGAGTTCAGAATCGAGCCCGCGTCGTCGAGGATCCTCTTCGCGTAGAATATCAGAGCGTTAACGCCGGCGAGTTGCTGGATAAACATTAAACCTGAAAAGATCATTAAACGTCGAATTAAAGTGCTAACACAATTCTACGTAAAATATACGTGATATAACGGCAGTATTCGGCAATCAATTTAGCTTAACTAAGTAATAGTTAAATTAAACGTTTACCAATTGTGACGCAGGTCGCTCTCTGATATTTTTTCAAGTCCGAAATATTGGGCCTGGCCTCGCGCATTTCCGAGGCCCGAAGCTCGAGCGTGGCCAATTCCGTCTCGGTGTTGTATCGAGCCCCTCTGAAGTGTTTCAGCACGTCACTCGCCTCGTTCTTCCGACCCTGCATGACCAGCCACGCCGGTGATTCCGGTACGAACGGGAAGGAGATCAAAAGCAAAGCGGGCGCAACGGAACACAGTATCGCGATGACGTGCAAGCTATCGGTGAAAGCTGCAAACGTAATGTCACCGCTTATCATTTCAGAAAAGTTGTTGCGCAGTTGTGCCCTAGAACACTGGCGACTTGAATTTTATCTATCGTTGCAAACACCGTCAAACTACGTGCGGCACGTCAAGTTCTTTGTAGTGACATCTTTCTCTAATTATCTGTGTCGTTACAATGGTCTGGCATTACAGACGTTTCCATGAAGAGCCACGTTCACACGTTGCGGCAGAGTGGAAAAGCGAATGTCCAACTTGTAAATTATCAATTTACAGCAGTCCTCGATGCAACCGGATATACTTGTGATAACGTACATTCGAGAGCTTGGTCAATGTAATTCCTTTATTTTAAACGTAGGTTTCGTTGACGCGGTAATCGAAGACACCGCGCCGCGAAATTGATCAGCGTTAGATTTATGAAATTGAAACACCTCTTTACCAGTGGCATATGCGAAGAGAATTCCGGCGGTAATCTGCAATTGGAAAATGGTGCCGAGCAAGCCCCTAATGCTCTGCTCGGCAATCTCAGACGTGAACATGGGAACAACGACGGATGCTGCGCCGCACGCTGCCCCCGCAACGAACCGCGCCAGGAAAATCCTTTTGGTGGAAAAACTCGATTATGTAACGTAAATAGAAAATCAATGAAACTGGTACAGTAAAATCGCCGACGCTGCTTGGGACGTAACCAATGCAATTGATAGATAAGACATAACGGACGGTGGACTTCGATGACTAGATTCAGTTCGTCGATTAATTGAAGCAAGTAATTTCTCCTGCCAACCGTTGTGTTAATTGAAACAGAAATATGGGTGTGTATCCCTTTTTATTTTGGCGTAAAGTAATATTTCAGATTTTCTATACAAAATAGATAGGTACGTCAACATTTGACGTGAGGCATTTTTCAAATCCTTTCAAATTTCGCAAATCTTCAATGAAATTCGATCGAAAATCTGAAGCGAATCCCCTTACCATATCTTGGACCGCGCGAATCCGATGATGTACCAGCAGAAAAATAAGGGCACGGTCGTCGCCCAAATCGTCCTCTTTCGACCGAACCTATCCGCGAGCATCCCCGCCGGGATAGCGGTCGGGATAGCACCGAGCGGGACCAAGGAGGAGATCCAGGAGCCCTCCTGATCGCTGACAGGCAGCGTGTCGTTCGCGTTGTAAAGTGGCAGGGCGGACGACGTCCATGACAAATACGTGCCGATCGAGAACGCGGCGAGTGTCGCTAAGCGGTAACAGAAAGTAAATGTCAGACGCGTCTCATCTCGCGAAATTCCTCCCGAGGAATATTCTATTTGATCTATCTCGAGAAATATTTTATCTTCTCCGACAACGTTTCTGTCTTGAGAATTCTTCGGCCTCGCGCTACTCCCCGATATTCTCTCCGCTTCGAAGAGATCCCACGGCGACGGGGGACGCGAAGTTAAATTACAGCGAGGAGATGTCTATCGAGAGAGACGAGAGAGAGAGAGAGAGAGAGAGAATTTTAACCGCGAGGCGAACTTTCGATTAAATTAAGAGGCACGATTAATGCGGCAATCGCGCGTGATGGCTCGAGTTTTTTTTTTCCAAAGCCGCCTCGAAACTCCCAAAGGCTCGCGAAGATGAGGGCAGATTTTACACGTTTTTATAGCCCGGTAAAGTCCCTTTGTCCCCCGAGCGTACGCGGCGGAGATTCACTGTTTTTCAACTATCTCGCAGTCTATTAAATATTCATGTGTAAATGCAGCCGCATCTCAATATCGCGCGAGTTCGCGGAGAGGATTTAAGCGCCCACCCACAAAACTCACCCACAAGCGCGCCCACGTATTGCGCGCATTTCGTAGTCGGTCGCTCGCGCGACGATCTCTCGTCGCTCTGTGCAATTAAGGCCATTGTGCATTCACGAGAATCGCGGCGATCACTTTAGCCACTTAAAACACTTGGCAAAAACAAACGGTGCGAGTCAGAGCTCTCGCGGGAGAGCACGAGCGACATTGAAACTCGGGGAAAAGAAATGAAGAAAAAATACGCCGTGACGCAGCCCGCAGCTGAATGCCGCGGATTACGGCGTCCGAATCCGCGTCTTCTTCCACGGCGAGACTTCTTATCAGCGTTCCGCACCGATATCGACCGATATTCGGTGTTGTAACCCCGGATCTTACGTAACCGAAGCCGGGTTTTAACGCCACCGAACGTAATCTCCGTATACTGTTATCTATTATTACTGGCATCTTCGCTCCTCGTTATTTTACGCGTCTCTCCGACTTAAGCGGCATAGCTGTGCGCGACATAAAGTTCGTCTGCCGCTATTCAGACTGCGTTTATGGACACGCCGTTTCGTATACCGCGTTCAAACGCAGCCGCTTTCACCACGCGCTCGGTTTGAGCCGAAACGCGTAAGAGATGTTGTTCCCCGAGTACGAGCGCACCGTGAAATCCTTTCGAGGGCAGAAATACCGAAACGTGATATTTCGATAATTCATCCTGGAACATGACTGAATCGCGTACCTCCACAAACGTAATTTCTGCACGTCTCCAGGACGATCCATTA